CTATATACATTTTTATTTATTTCACTATATCTCTTTCTCATATGATACTTCTTTTATTAACTCAAAAATTATATATACTAAATACAATTTTGTAAAAAAAAAAAAAATAGTTACACTTTGAGTGTGCGTCTGCATTATTCGTACTGCACATTACTGGATGCTAGGTTGCACACTAGTATTGGACAAATTGCACATTAGTGACAGTCAGATTGCACTATAGCGACCGAACACGAACGAATAATTTATTTTTTTTCGTTTGGATCGAATTTATGTTGATTAAATTATATGTTTTTACTTTTAAATTTGAGACTTTCTAGGGACCTTAGTGCAAATCTAAAATTTATTTAAAATATAATTAATAAGTTAAATTGCAATTAATTAACAGTCTAATAAATGTACATTAAAGTTAATTAAAATGCACAATTAGAATATGTTGTGTTAAGCATAAAAAAATAAATAATAACATATTTAAATTATTTCGGTTAATTAGATGTACAATTATATCTACAAAATATAGTTTTTGGATAGACATAATTTATATGTCACGTAACGTATTGCACTTTATATAGCGGCACGTCGCACTGAATAACATAATATGTTGCACTTTATAAAACTACAAGTTATACTATATCACAATACTCCGCAATTGACGTAAAATATATTCCGTCAAAAATACCACACAACAGAAATCTACAAAATGGGCATACATAATATTTTAACATTCATTACATCATCTATAAATAAAAAATAATAAAAAAAAAGCATAAAAATAAACTAGTATGCTAGCGTGCAAACTTACAATAATGCACTTTATATACCATCACGTTGCACATTATAAAACATGTTGCATTTTACAAAACAAGGAAATGCACTTTATCACAATTATCAGATCACATAATATAGAACAAACCTGACCGAACACAATTTTTTTTTTTCAACCAAAAATGATATACAAATAATAAATAAAAAATAATAACATATAAAATACAGTTTTGAGATAAATAAAACAAAAATTGATTATTTATGATAATCTGGTTAACCGAACCGAATACACCAAATAATTATGTCTAGTTTCGATTTGATTTGGGACAAAAGTTCGGTCGGTTCAATATGTACAATACAAACCGACATGTTGTACCATTGTGTTGGACTAATTGCACCGTACTAACCGTTAGATTGAACTGTATATATTCGTTTATATATATACTGATTTTTTTAGGTAAAAGTAATATTTATTTGTAAGCCAAAAGTATAAGAATTATTAAATAATACATGGAAATATTAAGATATTAATTATAGTTTGGTTAATTACAAAATTCACCCATAACTCAATTGTAATAAATTAAAGTATCTGAAATTGTAATTAAACCCACTTGACTTGTCAAATTTACAAAAACAGGTCCTTTTACACAATTGACGCGGCAGAAATCAGATCTTCCCAACCATGACCTCCGCCGCCATCAGATTCGCCCTCCGGCTACCGGACTGCCGCTGACCACCTTCCAGTCCACCGCGGCCATCTCGATTACGTCAACCGTCTAATCGCCCGAAGCAAAGCGTGAGCTCGCCGGCGAACAGATTGCCAGTGGCGGCGCGCCGCTGCACCAGGCTATCGGTGTTGGATACAATTACAAAGGATCATGGTTTTTGATCGCGGGCTATGGAAAATAGTGTCCGGCATTTCTGGCCGCTATTCGACGCTATGGCGCCGCTATGGCATAGTAGCGCCAGGCTGTTTTTGCCGCTATTCGCGCTATTTGGTGCTATAGCGCCAAATAGCGCCGCTATAGCGCCAAATAGCGCGAATAGCGGCAAAAACAGCAATAGCTTGGCGTTAGCTGATCTGAGCCGTTATAGCGGCGCTATAGCGCCGCTATAGCGCGCTATTTAAAACCATGCAAAGGATATATGATAAATATATAAAATTGAATACAATTATACAGGCTATCGATGTTGGCCATGGCGTCGTCGTCTGCAAGCACCTATCGGTGTTGGCCATGGCATCGTGGGCCACGGAATCGAGGCGATGGCGGGGCGGCGCTGGGTGTGGTCGGAGGCGACGGTCGGAGGCGATGTCCGGGCGACGCTGGGTGTGGTTTGAGGTGACGGTCGAGGCGACGGGCGGTGGCTGGGTGCTGTGTTGTCGCCGTGTGTGTGTGTGTGCGTGAACTGTGTGCGTGCGTGAAAAAGAAAAAGATTTTGTGTGTGTGGGAAAGGGGAGGGGAAGAGATAATTAGTGGTGGGGCCCACTTAATTATTGTGAAACTTAAATTACACAAGTACCCTTTGAGGTGTCCACTTGACCATGAAATATACATATATTTACAACTATGCCATAATGTTTTGACTGGATTTATTAATGTTTGACTTCATCATGTACATTGATATCATTGATCTAATGGTAATTATTCATTCTTATTTC